AGGCCATCTTGTGTATGCATCTCTTCTCGATACGCCCAAAATGGCCTGGCACATGCTGGGACGTCCTCTTTGTTTTCCGGCCAGTCAGTCTCTGCATAGGATCGGATGGTCGACAGAGCAGGATCCTTGGCGGTTGCCACACGTAGTTCCTCGAGGCGACGCTCAGAAGCTGGAACAAGGGCAATGACGTTAACATTGAAGCGCTCGGTTTCTTCCGTCAATAACGCCTTGCTTGGAAAACGAGAGAGCGCATCAACCAAAAACAGCTTTTTTCCTGGCTTTTACAGTAGATTAATGGCGTATCGCTGCAATGTCAGTCGCATTCGTTGCAGTCTAAGTGGGCACTGGTGAAGTGGTTTACTGAAAATTGGCACCAACGGACGATGGTCGGTTTCCACCGTAACCTCAGATTGGCCGAAAATATAGTCGTGAAATTTTTCGCAGCCATGCACAATCGCCAGAGCTTCCTTTTCAATCTGCGCGTAAAGCGTCTGAGCATCGCTGAGCGATCTAGACGAGAAAGCGATAGGGCGGCCGTCTTGTATCAGAACGGCGCCAACGCCCATGTGGCTGGCGTCAACAGAGAGGGTGACTGGCTTTTTCGGATCGAAGTAAGCATGCACTGGTGCTGTTACTAAGGCTTGGCGCAGCTCATTGAAGCTGCATTGCTCTTTTTCTGTCCAGATCCAGGCAATCTCTTTGCGCAGCAATGTTCTAAGTGGTGCGGTGAGTACAGACATTCGAGGAATGAAGCGCTGCACGTAATTCATCGTTCCAAGGAAGACTTTCAATTCCTTACTGTTACTTGGCGCTGGCATGTCCAAAATGGCTTGGACGCGATCGGGTCCCAGGCTCAGTCCTTGCGTGGTGAAAACGTGTCCCAAGTAGCGAACTTGCTCCTGCAAAAAGACACATTTCTGCGAGTTCAGACGGAGGTTGTGCTCACGGCAGCGTGCAAGCACCCCGGTCAAGTTGTTGTCATGTTCTTCCTTCGTTGTGCCCCAGACTAATATGTCGTCCATTACAACCGCTACTCCAGACAGGCCCTCCAAGAGGCGGTGCATGGCTGCTTGAAATATTTCCGGGGCGGAAGCAATTCCAAAAGGCATGCGGATAAACCGATAGCGCCCGTAGGGCGTGCTCATTGTGCACAATCTGGAGCTGCTGTAAGAAAGTTTTATTTGCCAGAACCCGGATGTTGCGTCCAAGGTAGAAAAATATTTAGCTCCAGCTAGTCGTTGCGCGACCTCTTCTAGAACAGGCATAGGGTAGTGTTCACGCAGAATAGCCTTGTTAAGCTCCGTTGGGTCGAGACAAATTCTTACTTTATCACCTTTAACTACGGCTACCATATAGCTTGACCATTCTGTTGGTTCGGGTACCTTGGTTATGACGTTGTGCTCCTCCATGCGTTGAAGTTCGGCCTTTACTTTTTCTTCAATGGCGACCGGAACCCTTCTGGCTGGCACAACAACACCGACGGCGCCGGGTTTGAGCTTCATTTCGTACTCAAAATTCTTCAGCTGTCCCAATCCTGTGAAAACATTGGTGAAGGGCTGAGCCGCCGGGTAGAGTTGCTGCGTCTCGACGCTATCAACGCGATAAATCAAGCCAAGGCTTTCTGCTGCTGCTCCGCTGAGGGTCACCGGCACGTTTTGCTCTATGACGAAGAAGGTTTCATCGTGCTGTTTATTGTTCACGGATAGCGACAACATTACTTTAAACTGCGCAGTCGTTTTGTGGCCGAAAAAACTCGTTAACGTGGCTCGGCAGGCTTCACGAGTCTTTCTCGGAAGCGACAAAACATCTTCCTTTGAAATCACACAACAGTTTGCCCCAGTATCAAGTTTGCAGACCATCGGACGGCCTTCAATGGAAACTGTCGCGGTCCACTGGTCGCTAGCGAGTGCGTTCACGGTTAAAGCTTCCAGAAAAAAATCTGACCTTTCGTCAACATGTAGCTCTCGTATTTCCCTGCGCTTTGCATCTTCGCTGTGCAAGAAGGATGACTGCGAGCATGCTTGGGCGAAATGATTCAATCCTCCGCATTTCTTGCACGCTTTTCCTGTTGCTGGGCAGCGGCTGCCGCGGTGAACTTTGTAGCCACATTTGTTACATGGCTTTGTTACTCTGGCCAACGCATTTACGGCTGCAGTTTCAGCGCCTTCAGTGGTGCCACGTATCTGTCAAAACTGCTCCTCGCCTTGCTCTTGGATGCGACAGATTTCGACTACTCTTTGGTAAGAGGGGTTTTCAGAAATTAACTTCTTTTGCAGTCCCTTGTCCCGGATACCGAGTGTGATGCGGCTACGAAGCATGCGCTCTTCTAAGTCTCCAAAATCGCAGTGTTGGGCTAGCGTTCGCAATTCGACAAGCCAGTCATTGAAACTTTCGTCCTCTTTTTGGTCTCGGGAGCCGAAGCAAAACTCGTGGTAAGTGAGGTTCTTCGCGGGCTGGTAGAAGTCTTCAAATTTTTTAATTATAAGGGTTACATCTGTTGTGTCCTCTCCTGGCTCAAACTTGAACGAAGCGAACACTTTTCTAGCCTCTTCCCCAGTGGTCACTAGAAGCGTCGCCGCCTGCACTTCTTTTGGTTGCTTGTTCAGCTGAGTTGCCGTGGAAAACAGTTCAAACTCACTTTTCCAGGTCTTCCACCCAAGCCAAGCGTCTCGCGATGTGTCGAGGGGCTTCGGAGGCGGCAGGAGCGTTGTCGGCAATGCAGGCGGTGTCGGCAACGTAGGCGGTGTCGTCATGCTGGCTGTTTTCCGCTGCCACCATGTGTACGAGACGATATCATGGGACGAACAACTGCTTTATTGCCTATAGTGACGAGTTTAAGTAGGCCAGGCGGGTGACGTCACGCTTACGTAGGAGCGACAGCTTGCGCTCGCTATCGCGGCCGTGCCAACTCGGTTACAGTTTAATTCCCTGCTTCACAAAAATTATGATGGTTCGTGGCGTATTGCGTGCCACGAAAGTGTATACTTATAGCTGCCCCAAGAGAGTTAAAAAAAGTCCTAAAAAGGCCGATCTAGCTTTCGTTGCGACTGTGCTGCGCAGCGCACAGGCCTGTAGGTAACTTTTGCGTTAAACTAATGAACACCATCTTAAGAGATAAAACTGGGAGAAAGAGTGAAAGGACGTCTATTGTGGTATAAAAGCACAGAGGTCGGCCTGAAGAAATGGTGTTACGTGATAGTGTTGAGAAAGGGGTAGAAAAGAAAAGCAGCTATAGAGAATGTTGGTTAGGCGGGTGACGGTGGCATTGAAACAGAAACTTCAGTTTGGTGGGTTTGTAACAACTTTACTGCGAGTACTACAGTGATTGTGCTGACCGGGTCCAAGGCTCCTACGTGTGGACGTAAATAACTTTAACAGAGAAAAAGTCAGGCAGCGAAATATTTCATAATTATTTTCACATAAAACTGCATTGAGAGGCTGGTACAGACTAAGACAGCAGCTAATAATTAATACTTTGCGATGCTTGACGACGTGATGAAGACAATTTAATAATGACCCCCCCTCCTTTTCTCAAGTTCTAAAAGGGGGACACAAAGTTTCCCACATGGATACACTCAGTTATGGCTTCACAGGCTATTGGGGACTATGGCTGTCGAAGTCCCCTGGTGCTCCATTCAAGTTACTGTAACGTCCCAACTTTACTCCCGAAAAGTCAGGTACCAAGGGCAGGTGATTGCGAGAACCTCGTCATCGCTTAACTTTTTTTTCTTTTTTCCATTGAGAAAAATGTATTTCGGATCCGACTAACAGGGGCTGTGTGTGTGTGGGGGGGGGGGGGGGGGTAGGAGGGTTGCGTTAAAGCATTGAAGCACTTTACGAGGAACCTTGCAGACGCTTATGCATGGTCCGATACTATAGCATGTCGCCCACAGCGGAAGGAATAGCGTTTAGGAAAAGTCACACAAGCCCGTAGTTTTTGTCATATTTCTTATTTGATTGTATCGATTTCCCTCCCCCGAAACTTCCTGCCCCTCACGTGGTTTTGTGGCTCCTCCGGGATCGGCCCACGTTGGCCGAGTGACGATCTCATCTGTGCACGTCAAGGAACGTCACGTTAGGCGATGCCGTCATGACGCCATAAAATTTATAATCCTGCGATGTCACTGTGCCTTCATAGAGTGACGTCAACACAAGATGGCGATTTATTGCGTCACTCGACGTCCACGGTCACTTTCTTCACTTTTTGACGCACTCAAGATCTTTACCTTAAGAGAGCATTTCTGCTTTTGATTACATAAGCAAGACCACGATAACCCAATAATGAAGTGAATATCGATCTACCACCTCAGAAACGTTATCACCTTTACTGTTACAGTCTGTATAAATATATCGGGATCGGCACGATGCCAGGGTAGCCTGCCGCTCTTCCGGTTTTATAATCAACTTATTGACAAATAAAGTGATTGTTCACAGCACTTGTAGAGAGGCTAAATTTCAACATTAAAAGAGACATTTCTAAAGTCACAACAGTAATGCTGTGGGGCGAAAGCAAAAAGCCATTAAGGCTTAGCCAAGGCTTTCACAGCATTAGATCACATAGCAACAGCAACAGCCACTACGCAATATAAAACAAACATTTTCGTAAGAAAGGAACAGTAAGAATGTTTTATTGCAGGCACCTATTTAATGTAAGTGGCTTTTTCTCCCGCGAGAGCTGGCGCAGAGAGATGCCGTTATGGATCCATGGCCGCCGGGATCAACCTCTACCTTATGCTGAACGAATGCGATTAGTGTACCTGTAATGGCACTCGCATAAAACGTGAAAAACACAAGTTGGTCATTGCCCACAACGTGCACCTAACATTTAAGTTAATCTCGTTTAATTTAAAGCTCCGGCTCCATCGAATGCAGTCCGCTTTGTACATACTCAACAAGTGTTCTCGCAGTATGTAATTTGCAAGTATGTATGTAATTTGCAAGTATGTAATATTGCACCAACACATTCAACGTCGTGTGTTTTTCAAGCTACGCGCACTTATGCAGACTTTATTTTCGTGCTTTCTAGACCGCCTCTTCTATTTCCATTTCTAGACTCTTCGTTACGATGAAAGGAGCAGTGTTAGCACAATACACGCCACTTTATTTTTACCGTTCGCTTCGATTTCCACCCGATTCAATAAGTTTTCAAAGTTATCCGTTGTTTTTACCAAGGCAGTCACTGCCGATTCTCAGTTTCCAGTATTTTCCCCCTATTTTGTGTTCGTTTTCAGGCTCGCTAAACTTGCTCGTTAAACTCAAGCTCGTTACATTTGCATTATAATTGAATTAGACTTGTAAAATGAGCTATGACAACATCGCGAAGTGTGGAGATGTTAGATTTCCGTACGCAACGTGATAAACGCTAGTAAATTACTGTCGCATAACTTAGACGAAGGGACCGAAATAAGACGACGATTGAGAAAAAAAAGCGTTCTAGAAAACTGCATCGTGCAAGCCACTGAGAGCGGTAGCCTTGAAGAAGAACACGTCCATAGGGGCAACGGTGACGTTGATGCTTTGCTCTGGATAAAACTTTCCGACGATGGCATTGTTGCGGATGAGATCTGTGACGAGGTACCCCAGGGGACTGTCCAAGTTCAGGCTCTGGAGCGTGATGGAAGTCTGTACGGGACCACCGAGATTTTTTGTGTTGTACACAAGGACGGCGAGCGACCGTCTTCCATCGGCAAGTTCCGGAGTCTCCCAGCGAGTCCAGATGTCGAGGTTTTTTGCCTGGTGAACACAACGAAAACGCGGTTGAAGACAGTGTTAAGTTTTGGAGGAGGAGAAGCATAATGACGTAGACGAGCGCTTTTAACCGATTGGCTCGTGTGCCTCGTGCTTGACTTATTTCGATTGGCCACCAATGCTAGTTCATAATGTACTGCGCAAAAACGGACGGGGCCAAAAAAGAAGAGGACAGCACAAACAAGCGGGGTTTGTGCTTCCTTCTTTTGTCATCCCGTCTAGTTGTTGCACTCTAGCACAGTACACCATGGTCAATGTGCACCATGAACCAGTAATAACTGGCCCAACTTGCCACTCTTCGGCCACCAGAAGACCCGTTGCAACTATTGTCCGGGAGACAAGCTCACTCATTTTTGACTGTGGGGAAGCTTTCTTTGTTCTTTATTTTATGGTGCCGAAACCCTGAACTGAACCAGGAACATTTAGTCGCACCTTTGTTCTACTGATAGTTCATAAAGAACGAGGCTGGGCGAATCGCAAATAGCTCTTGCATAGGGTTTCTTACGAGATCTTCTCGTGTGAAATGTGACGCCATCGTCTATGCGAGTTTCCGAACGAGCGCTTCACCGCCATGGTAATGACAAATGAGTCGGCAGGGAACTGTGTTTAATGGCGTACGTTAAACGAGAATTGGCCTAAAATGTGAATACGCATACACACATGAAATTTCCTTCAAACAAGAACCTTCCCTAACAGACACCGTGCACCCGCACTGACTTCTAAAATTCAAATTTTCTATTTCGCAATGCACATTCAAGTGGCCAGAACTATAGGAGATGAACTGTTACGGAGCACGTGCCAACCCTGTCGCTGTTCCACCAACTTTAGCGGCAGCTAAGAACTATTTGTCTCGGAAGACTGCAAACTCAAGATAAAGTGCTCAAAGTTAAAACGTATTTGTGTAATATAAAAAAAAAATCAATTCCTCTTGCACGCTGTTTCCGAACGAAGGGAACCATTGTGACGCTGCTAGCCGGACACTTCATCAAGACCTTCGAGCTTCGAAGTTAGAATAAAAAGAACGCAATTCTCAGTATCGATAAATCGCAGCATTCCCACACATGCAACAGCTTTCAGCCCCAGATTACTCATTATGTGACTGTAAGAAACTCTATGTCGTATTTGACTTTCCATTGCATTGCTCTTTTTATCATTTTTTCGCATTGTGACTTTTGTTTTATTGTATTACTTCATTTCTTTTTCAACTGTTGCGTATTGCTGCTTGTTTTGCCTTGTACGAGCTTCTTATTATCACCTGCTAATTTTCTGCCAATTGTTTTCAATTTCACTTTTGCTGTAGTTTTTAACTGAGGGTCCCGTTTTCAGTATTTATACTTTGGAACCCTCATCTGACTTTAAGTGTTATGTAATCGATGCTTTGTAACTAATAAAAACAGAAACTGAAACTGAATTCATGTAAGACATTCAGCGAATAAAGTAACGTGTGGACAAGGCCTACTGAGTATCATAACATAAAGCTAGTTTTGAAAACGCACTCGTAAAAAAACCTCGCTGTCATGGGAACGAATTGTTCAGAAACACAGGAGCACGTCTGTTATTTCCTGTACCTATACTGCGCATACGAAAATGCCAGGATCAAATTTCGAGAAATAGCCAGGAATTCTACATCTAACTATAATACAGAAAGCTCTTTAGCATGACGACATCATCACGACTTGTTTAATAATTCGGTCTATATCTGCAGCAGAAATAGCCCACCACATTATCGTTGGTCACTTCGGTACACAATCACCATGCCAATGATAACTAATAAGCAAAACCTACGGGGCACAGATATACTCACTAATTTATGGATGCGCTTTCCCATAAATCCAAGTGGATCTTGGTTGATGGCGATGATATACTTGTTCAGCAAGAGATCCCTAGATTCCTGCGCGATGTGCCTGAGGTCGTTGGACATGATCAGTGGTGCGGCCATGACGGCCCAATACGCCATGTGTGCCCGTTGTAGCTCAATTGTCAAACCAAAGTTTCCAATAACGTGCTGGAAGGATGCAAAGATAAACACGCTTGTATACTCATATCTTCAAATGAACATCGTTGCAAGCCCCAACAAAATTTCAATCTTTCTGTATGTCACTTGTTTCCCCCTGTTTACCTCATTATTCTACTGGAATATCTGCAGAGTTGATACACGCTTGTGTTTTCATCTTGACTTGACTTGTACAACGCCCCATACAGCACGGACGACAACGAAGAGTCTCATCCGTATTCAAATAAGCTAAAAGTTGTTTTCCGAGGACTTGCAATCCATGTACAGCATTTCACGCTGTACAAGTCAATACAAAATTGACTAACAACTCACCCTGCTTTCAGTTCAGCTCTTGTGTATGTCTAGCACGCTGGCTTTGTTCTCTATGTCTTGCAAAAAAAAAAAAACAACAACGTAATGGAACTCTGCCACATCGCCGAAAGCTACTTCCTTATCAGTTTTCCACAAATTTTCAACACATTGTACAAATAGCGTATGTATTTACGGTATTGCACGCGGGGATTCATTTATATTGCTACGTAGCTGCGGATGCTATACGCATCAGTGTCAATATAGATTCTAAATAAACACGCCTCGTGTCATTTTTACGTAACAATATGATCGAGCAAGGAAAAGAGCTTTGCACGTGATGTTTAGGCCAACATAAACAACCCCAACAACAAAGACTTTAGTGGCTACAAAACCTTCCAGCCACTTGCGAGGGTGCTGACACTCCGTGTAAAGTTGTTTGCGCCGCGTGGCGCACGTGTTTCGCACAGAAGCCGTATTTCATGGGTGACAATTATTGAGCGATAGGTGGCGTTGTGTTCGCGAGCGGTGATCACCACTATCATCATCATGGTAGAGTGGTAGCGGCGACGGCGACTCCTGTCGGAAGGCAAGCCTTGGTGGCGGGAGAGAGAGAGTTCAGCGAGTCTCTTCTGCGCGTGGCGGTGGCCGCAAACGGTTGTCTCTAACGTGGGTCCGCGGTGCGTGGCCCCGCGGGTTGCGCGTCGGGGGCCCTCGTTGTAAGTCAGGCTTTGACGACGCCACCTTGGGTGTGTTATTGTGCTTCTCATGTTTTGGAGTGTATGGTATTATTATGTAAGGATGTCCTAGCGTGTTGATCACGATTTATGTTATAATAATTCGGCGGACGATATCGTCGTTCTAAAATTAGTTAAATAAATGTATGTTGTTGTTTGGTTTGGCGCGACCGCGTCTGCTGTATCCGTTTACTCCAAGAGCGTGGTGGCGATTGCCAGTTCGAGACCCCACACACTATAATAAAGACAGTGCTAAATTGGAAGACGAGGATATGAAAGGAGACAAGAAGAGGAAGACATGTGTACAAGAAAGTTTTCACCCATTTCAGGGTGTTTTTAAATTTACTGAAAACAAGTGTCTCTGGCAGGAGACAGGGAGTCACTTTTAACAACCACATAAGCGAAAGAAAGCTGCATTTAGTTGGCCCTACTTTAAATATCAATGACGTTAAAGTAGTGATGGCGATGAGCAGATAAACTCATGCACAATACTCGCGATACATTCAGCGTATATTTGATATTATTTAGTGGTTCATTTGATGACCCCTTGCGCGAAAGCAAGCCTGCTCAGCAGAGAAAGTCCGGCCAACAAGCAACTTTTGAAAAATCTGAAGGTCACTGATAGGCTTAAAAGGGCTGGTAAGACACAAACGAACTGCTTTCGGCAAACCTGCCGACGAATGCAGCTTACCATGTCGGGGTCAGTCCAGGCACCGGGTCCAGACACACTTGCTGCAATGTCCTGAATGGATGCTTCGAAGTTTGTTATATTAGTAATGCCCTCCGACGTGTAGCTAATATCAAAGTAATTCCTCCACAAGTTGCAGTTCTTGGATACGTTCTTGTAGTCGGGCTGGAACAAAGATAAGGAGAGAGTTAGAATGTGCAGTTATGAACAGACCTCTGTAAAATTTTTATGTTTACGAAAAAAATATCGACGATTCACAGCAACATGATAGCTAATAGTGGCAGTGCCTGGACAAAATCTTTTACTTTCTGATCTATAAATTGATTGACGTAATTACAGCAAATCGAGTACTTCAAGGACATCATGGACATGCCCAGCCCATGTCCATCAAGGACATGGACCTTGCATGTAGCGCGTAGGCAGGATAACCACTGGTCATTAAGGATTACTGATTAGATTATCAGGGAAGGAAAGCGGGTTAGGGGGAAACAAAAAGTTAGGTGGGCAGATGAGATTAAGACGTTTGCGGGTATAAAGTGGCAGCAGCAAGCACAGGACCGAGTTGACTGGCGGAACACGGGAGAGGCTTTTGTCCTGCAGTGGACGTAGTTAGGCTGATGATGATGGAGCACTTTCGGTAAAAACATATTTCTAAATGATGAATAACCTTTCATGATGGCAAGCATATACATATATACGCAGGCGTACGGTTTGTTGCAAGTAATATAACGCAACAATATACTGTGACCAAAATGAGGAAGCCTTATATTATAAACACATGCGACCTGTTTGATATTTATTTAAAACTGCAGCAGTGGCGTAACCAGAGGATGGCACACCGGTTCCTCTCCCCCCTTCCGGAACTTTTTTCACCATGGCATACAGACCGAAAAGTGGCCACATTGATATGGTGCCCTTGGCGAAATCACGAAAGTGCTCCCCCTCTCTATCGAAAAAAAGTTATTGCTACGCGTCTGAACTGCAGGCATTCTTTGCAACACAGAAAAAAAAACAATGTTCATTTTATTTATTTAAATAAATAAATTATGGAGTTGAGACCCCGAGGCACGCCGAAGTGGGATACCCGGGTTAATTTTGATCACTTGGCAATCTTTAACGTGCGTTGGAATAAAAAACACGAGTGTTTCTTTTTTCAATCTCTCCTAATCAAAATGTGACCACTGCGGCAGGAAGTCGAACGCATGACCTAATGCGTAATCACGCGGTAGGCCGCCAAACCAGCGCAGCATTTAATAAGCGGTACGTTGTACTTACAGACTAGACGTACATTTATATAGCCAGCGCTTAAACTACGTCACATACCAGTATACCGGATATGATTTGGTAGAAGGGCCATTCGCAAGAGTAGACCATGTCCCGTCCTGTTGCAAGAAGAGCTCGTCCCATTTCTGGATACACTGTTGAAAAGTTTACACCACATGCACACTTGCTTACACCCGAGAATAGTAGGTTGTGCAACTCAAATGAAGGTATAGTGATAATCTATAAACACACGAGAATAGTAGGTTGTGCAACTCAAATGAAGGTATAGTGATAATCTATAACAACTGTAATCATACTATCTGCTTCGAGAAATGGTAAGCGTTTACAGAATATTTAAACGGTGTAGTCCACACGGTTCAGAAGTGATCCGACACATAGAATACGTATTTCCGCACGTGACGCAAATGAACTATAATGATATGTCATATATTAGTTCGTGCAAGCGTGCAAACAGGGTTATAAGCGTATTTTCATGGTGATGCAATGCAAATTTTGGCGCTAGCTGATTTGGTCAGGGAAATGCTTATAGTGTAAACGCGAAAAGCTACACTTACCAAAAATAGCAAAATGTTAGCTTTTCGTTTCGGCTCACCATATGACAGCCTCGTTCATAATAAGAGCCACAAGAATGACACACCATATTTAAATACTTGACGTAAGCAGTGATGGCAATTGGGAACAAGGTTCCCATATTGAGAGCCGAAACGTCAAGCAAAAGTATGTTGGTATTCTTGGTCGTGGTACATTTTCCTGTTTACACTGCACTTTCACATCGTACAAATAATTCTCTTATTAATAATTCTCTTATTTCTACCATGTGTGATTAATTATGTCGTTATAGCTGCTAAGTAATTCTTCATTAAAATTTTAAGTGACCAAGTGGTAGCGCCTAACTGGAGGCCCATTAGAACACAATCGTACATAACGCAACAGTATTACCAGACGTTTAATATAGATGTCAAACTAACAAACGGCACCCAAGAAATGACAGGGGGCGCATGTGCAGTTTGTAGTTGCGGTACGTAAATTATAAACTAGAAATAAATGAAAGTGAACGGAAACAAACAAAAACGGCTCCCCACCGCTGGGAACCAATTACACGTGAGGCAGTCTATCAAGTGAGCTACACGGGAACAATCGCACCCCTTCCACCCAAGTTGTTGAACATATCTATCTGCTATTTTCGGAGTACCAGAACAGCGCAACCCATGGCAACGAACGTGAACGTTTTTTTTTTTTTTTGCCAGATGGAGTAATGTCACACTTAAAAATTTACGAATTGGCAGCTGACAAATAAAAGATTGCATGTTCTCCAGACAGCTGTCAAATTGTCCTACCTGGCGTACGAACTAAGCTTAAAGGAAAACTAAAGAAAGACAAATTTGGTCTCAGGCGTTTCTGTTGAAATAAAAATTAAAGCACTTTCTCCCAATTGGTGCAGGGCCCAAAAGAAGGGCAGAGCTGGGCAGCCTTCACGTTTTTCTCCTCTCATCACTTTAACGCGATAGTATCAAAGAGGTCATTTCGCAGAAATTCCGGTGTCGGTGTCGTTGGTTGTGAGCTAAAAATCACCATCTTATGCGTGACCAAAAAATCGAGAATGATGCCAATAAAATAAATAAATAAATAAAACAACGTGGGACCAGAGTGGGGACCGAACCAGGGTTGTTGGGGTCCGAGTGGGGATTGATCCTGGGTCGGTTGCGTGGCAAGCGGACTGTTTCACCATTCGGCCGCACCTACACTTGATAAAACAGTGAAAAAAACTTCATCTGCTTGAAAATGCAGTGAAAGTAGCTTTCATGCTTCACAAGCACACGCGTCCTATGTGCATGCTTCACAATGCAACATGAAATATTGCCCTAATAATACGTGGTCAAGCACACATTGCCAACGGGCGTCAGAATATATAATTATTATAATGAGTCCATGGTTGAAAGCCGGCACCCCACTACAAAAAAGCACACACGCTACTACGCCTATTCCCTCGAGGCCACGTGGTGGGTGCATAGCAAATTCTAAATGGTTGCATGCCCGAATTGCTTGAAGTACGCAATACGGACGGGATGTCGTTATCGTGTTCAGCTCCTATAGACGAAGCCGCGGGTCCCCTAATTTTTCTTGTTCTCTCTTTGATGTTGATGTACCCTTTTTGTTTCTATTTAATACAATTACTCTCCACTTCTCTCTCTGTTGTTATGTTCAATGTTTGCTTCATATTTTAATTTGCATACGTGGTTTGTGTAGCCATGTTGCCCCAGCCATATAGTAATATCCGCAACTTGATATTATCATCAAAACACTCGAAGAATCAGAGGAAGACTCCTCCTCAGCGCACCCAATATGCGCCATTTGCCTATGATCTCGCTTTGCATGTGTTACGCTAAGCGACGACGACAGCTCACGACAGAGCAGCTCCGTGCTTAAAGCAGCTGTTAATTACAATCAGAAAGGCAAACGAAAGAGATAATGCGATGCCACCTTCTCGCCTTGACGTCGTAAATTATGACGGCGTTCGGTCAACCTTTTATTATTATATTATATTATTTTTTATTAGAGAGGGAACATGTTGTTATTTAAGAGATGCTTTATAACGGATAAGTGATGCACATGCGTGACATGAAGGTGCTACTGCGCCTCGTGTCTCTTGAATATAAAAGTGCACCTATTAGTTAAGACTCACTGACATTTTGGTGTCAACGCACATTAAAGCTCGGTAACTTTCCAATCGAGTTTCAAGCGTAAGCCCCAAGTCTTGCAGGAATGCCTTATGCAAGTTTTCTATTCTTGGACGGTAAACGTGCATAAAAGGACGGGCCTTAATCCGCTTCAGTTTAGTCTGCGAAGCATTCTTCGTCGGTGCTTTCTTTTTTTTTTACAGTCAACACAATGACCCTGTGTGCGTGACCGTCTGCTGATGCGAAGATCTAGCAGAATGGCAGGCTGTTCGCATGTGCAAGTTTGCGTAACAAGAGCGTCCGAACGGCACTTTCCCGCTAATTCATGCTATTTACAGGCATTACAGCGCTACAGTTGTTTGCTTGATCGCTAAAGTCAATCACGTTTACCTTTGATGCTCTTGGATTACGATAAAACAAAGTCAGAAACAAACGTACAAAGAAAAAATAGGAAGAGAAGCGACAAGAAGCAAAAAAACAAAACGTGTTGTGTGTGCGGTGTCATTGCGAAGGTGTAAATGTGACTTGGTTGTTCTCTGTTAATGGGAAGTGCACATATTCTATAAAAGATTAAGCGCTACGACGGGTGAAACGCAAAACGAAAGTGGTTTCTGAAAACAAACAAGAAAACAAGTTCTTTTTTTTAAATTTTTTCCTACTCAGCTGTCAAGGCACCTCAAGTGCTTTGTTTCCGCGTAAGCCACCTTAACCGGCTTTGCACCTATCGGAGAGACGTAAAACGAGAGAGCATGGCCATGAATGGCTCGCCTAAACAGCCAGAAATGGGAGCGTCGCGCTGACGTCGAGGTGCCGGCACATTGTTTTGCGGCAGATATGGTTACGGGTATGATACGGACGCGAGGGAGTATGTTGACATGTATATATTTACAACGGGTTCGGTGAGCAGCGCCACCCACACTGATCCAGCCTATCAACTTCATTGTCCTTCCCTTCGCTCTCTTCATTCCTACGCCAATGGTAGGTATAGCCTGACCCCCACCGGTGGAAGCACCATACCGGAGCATTTCTTTGCATACTGCAGGCCCCTTGAGCGTCTGTCTATATACCAGTGGTATTGAATATTGTCGCGAGAGCAAGGTTTCGCGGAGAAACTTGTTCTTTTACGGCTTACAAACGGAGCAGTCAAGGTCGCCCCCGTTCGGGATTAGAAGGGGAAAGCTTACTCGGAAAAGCGTCTAGCAAGAGGCAGGTCCGGCGCCACCGTCGGAGTCTAAGCCATTGTTAACAGGCACGCGTGTCATTGAGGATGACATGGGGACGCGACCACTTAGCCTGACCGAGACATAGTGGCGGCAGGTAAACAACCATATTCTCTCGCGCTGTTGTTAGGATGTCGGGGCGCCTCGCTGTCGCATGTACACCTGGTAAGCAATGGTGTACCCATCGCTCTTAAGGACGCTTCTAGGAAGCAACAGTTAATGAAAGAACTTACGGGGCCCGAGCGTGGGAACGGCCGCCGACGGTAGTCGGCCGAAGGAGGCAGCACGGCCTGGTATGGGAGAGAGTGTCCCGTGCGGAGAACTTATCCCTTTGCGTGTTTCATTTGGTAAGGAGGTTTTTACAACTGTAGTGCCTTTTATGAAAGTGTTTCTGTGATTGGTTGTGATGCTGCGAGTCCCAACATGTGATTGGTTTTTGTGAAGACTCTTTGTTCGACCAAGGGTTAAAAAGAGGATGTTTGAACTTGAAAAGTGAGCGGAGTCGGGATCAACAGCGGATCTCACCACGGGAGACCAGGCCATGCAGGCCGAGGGGTATGTCACCATTTTTTATGTTTTGTCCTTGTGACCCAGTGCATTTTGTAACTTGAAGTTGTGTTAGCTAAATAAACCCCCAATGAGTGCTCGCCGAATTCATCGTGTTGACTTCTCATCGATTGCCTCCGCGGAGTTACACCCAAAATTATTCGTCTCCCTGGTCGTCCAATGCGCTTAACTTTGAACAACCCCGACGTTTCGCTACAAAGTGGTGGAGGTTGCTCGGTAACGATAGTCCCGCTCTGAAATTATGCCCCGAGTCAACAAAAAATATCAGGAACCTACCTCTGACTGCTCTACTATGACGGAACCCCCTACCTTCTTCTCTGCTATGTCTACCCCCCAAGTTAAACCATTCGTCGGACCACCAGTCTTTAGAGGCGCGCCGGAGGAATCTATTTCAGAGTGGCTACTTTGCTACGAACATGTAGCGTCGCCTAATAATTGGGACCAAGCCACGAAGGTGAAATTCCTATATCTGGCTTTAGACGGAGATGCGAAAAAGTGGCACACCACTCAAATTTTAACCGGTGCTCCTAATACATGGGAAGAATGGGTGACGCTGCTTAAAACATCCTTTACGAGTCGCCACTCAGTCGAGATCGCCCATTTGCGGCTACAAAACCGCACCCAAGTGCCGTCCGAAACCCCCGAGCAGTACTACTATGACGTCGTACA